GCAGGAATGTAGAAGGGAACCACTGAGATAACAGGCAAATAAAATTGGTCTGAAGTTTGCGGTGTAATTGGCTGGAAAACCCCCGTCGCACATTGTGCTGTGCAGGCGTCATTGCCTTGTTAGCTGTCGCTAGATAACTGTGACCAAGCGTCTGCGTTTGCTGCTCTTGGGTTGGCCTGCAGCGTCTGAGAGCAGTGGAACAGTAGTGACAGACCTGCAGGTTCAGCCTGGGCCGGGCAGCAATGTTTTTGAGTTGCTCTGTGCTCCTTGACTGAGCTTCTAACCTGCAAGGAGAGGTCTGGGCATCACCTGCTCACCGGGAGCTCTGGCACTTGGGGTTTTACCCTCCTACCTCATCTGCTCGGGGAAATAGGAGAGTGGCAGCACCTTTGAACTCGGGGTCTTATTCTGAGTGACACTGTTTTCACCGTGGAACAAGGTGGGATGGAGGGTGGCAGTGCTTCTCTCTGGCTCCATGTTAGCCGTTTGCAGTTTGATCTGAGGAAGTGCTTGGCGCTGATTTTTTGAGCCTGTGGTTTGCAAGCTAAAGGTGAAGCATTGGTTCAGATTTTAAGGCAGACAGATCAGCTTCAGGCATTGGCAGAGAGATGAATAGAGAGAACGATAAACAAACTAACATGCTCTTGGAGCTTTTAAACTAGTTACGGACTAAATTTTATCATCATATTTCAGCTTTTTTTGTGTAAATCACCATGTTCTCTCCCTGTTAATTTACCTGAGAACTAGGTAGCCTGTTTGAATGGTGTTGATGATGCCTTGCCAGGACAGACAGTTCCATGGGAAGCCTTGGACTTCCAGAAGTCTTGGTGGAAGAGATCTTGGAAGCCTCAAGCCTAGCCATCTGCTCAAAGCGGGGCTGTTGCCAGTGCTACATGAGATCAGCCGTGGCTTTGGCTGAGCCTTAACCACCTCTAAGATGGAGTGCAGGAGTAGCTCAGGAGTGCTCTTGCAGCTGCATAGCCTGATGTTAGAATCATTTAGGTTGGAAAAGATGCTTAAGATCATCGAGTCCAACCATAAAACTAGTACTGCTGAGTTCACCACTGAACCATGTCCCTAAGTGCCACATCTACACGTCTTTTAAATACCTCCAGAGATGGTGACTCAATCACTTCCCTGAAGTTGCCACACTCCAGCTCCCAACTTTACATCTGTGTGTGGCCCCAGGACCAAGACCTGCTTTTTGCCCAGACGGAAACATAGAGGGTGCAAGGAACATCCATGAGGTGCTTGTCCTCCTGTGTGGGTGAACCATGATGGTCATCCCTTTGTTCTTTGTAGTGGGGGTTGCATGCTAGTGTATAGCTCCCACGTGTGACAGAGGCTCTGTGTGACTGTCTCTGGGGGTGCTTAGGCATTGAGGAAGACAGTTTGGGCAACTGCTGCCCCAGGCTAGTGTCTAAAGGTACAGCCTGGTGCTAGACAGGCAAGAATCTGGAAGCAGAAAAAATACTCTGCGGTGTGTGTTAGCCTGTAATGATGCAGAAGTTTAAATGTGCTTCTTGCACAGCTCCAGCTGCACTGCTCCAAAGCGTTTTGCATTTGGCTGTGTTGAAATTTAGTCCCAGGGAGATTAAATTACTCTTTCTTCATCATTCATATCGATCCCCTGTTGCTGGCTGTGGATGACAAATGGACTTCCCACTCCTTCCAGCTCTGGTTGCTCTGGGAGGTACATCATAGCTTTGTTAATGTTTTCCCCTTTGGGAGGAGGTGTTTAAAAGCATGGGGGGAAAATCCTGTCTGCACAAGTTGGGATATGCTGCTGCATCGAGTAGCAAAGCAGAAGGTTGTTTTGGAGGTCAAAGCCATTTTCCACTTAAATGTTTAATGGCTGTTACGAGTCCAGCCTTTTGTGGCAGCTTGAACTGGAGAGGGATGTTCTGAGATTGAGCACCTCTGAAGGAGGAGGACAGTGGACATGATGCCTTGGTATGGAGAGTCATCCCTGTTGCAGCAAGGCTTAGTCTTCTCCCCTAAGAGACACTGGTGCGCTCGCAGGCTGAGAGTGCTCGGCTGCTGGGTTTAGTTGGCTTGGCTTGCCAAGGAGGTGGGTGGCTGTTCTGTCTCCCTGTTTGTGAGCCTCCACCCTGGACTGTCCATTGGCAAATACCAACCTGATGGTGATGCTGCAGAACTTGGAGAGATTGTTCTACAAACCTGGGGAAAATGGATGGCTGGGGAAAAGCTGGTGTTAGCTCTTTTGAGTCACAGGTCTGTTGGGTGCAGGACAACAAGCACAGCAGCAGAATGCTACAAATGGCCTGGCAACAGGAGACTGGAGATTGTGTTTACTGTATACCAGGGAATGCGTGCCTTGACCAAGGATTCCTTTCCTGTGTGAGTTGCAAGCAGAAAGCTTTTCCCTGGCTGGAATACTCGTAGGTTTGTTCTCTTATGTAGGCCTTGATGTTGGATAAGGATTGAGCTCACCCTGCCTGGTTGATTCTTAATATATTTCTGTAAAATGCCAGTCGTCCACAGGACCTGAATCCATCAGAGAGCCAGGAACTGCTTTTGTGGGGTGTTGTGGGGTCTCTCAAATGAGGTTATCCAGTAATCCAAATACTGACATAGCTGGTGCTTGAGAACTTAGGGTTAAGGTAGGTAAAATGGGTATTAGCATTAACGTCTAAGCTGTGGTAGCTCACAGGTAGGAGCATTCAGAGCCAGGGCAGAAGGCTGGGGTGATGGTTGGGACTGGAGGGGAGATACCTTCTTCCCTGGGCTGTCAGAATGGGTTTAACTTAGGGTGGTTAGAGACAGTGATCGAGTTCCTATGTGCATCACAGAAACAAGGCCAAGTTTAATGCAGGTGCATTTCAAATTTTTTTTTTTTTGGTTTTAACAAAGAAGCTAAAGACTAAAATAGTCCTGGGCTTGTAGTCCAACTCTGTTTTCCCACTGGGCCAGGCAGAAACTGAGGTGTGTTAACCCACTGCTACTGCAGCACGTTTAGATTGGTGTCACCAGAAGCTGGGGGAAAGGCAGCTGCAGGAAAAGAGCAGTGTAGTGGTATTGAACTGTTCCTTCTTTCCTTGGCCTTTAACCCTTACTCATCTCTTTCTTTCTCTCCTTTGCTGCCTTCTGTGATGCTTGGATGTGCAGAGCGGCAAGGGCTTTTGGAGAATATCTTTCACAAAACCATCCAGAAGGTAGAAACGGCTCAGGTAAGAGAATTGACATGCCTTACTTTTATCCATATGTGCATGCACCTATTTGTTAATAGGCCTTTAAAATGAAAGTGCATTTATTTATTATAAAGGGTTAGTGTGAGCTCTCGGCAGCAGAGAGGCAGGAGGAGTCGCCTTCTAGATCTGTGAAGCCCTTGAGGAGAAAAGGCAGTTTGGGGACTCAAAGGTTGGGTGGGCTGTGGGGACAAGTTCAGTTTCAGCGGACAAGTGCCTTGTCATAAATTCATGACTAGAGCTGATGTCTTTGGAAGAAGTTTCAGCTGGGAAGTGAAAGATTGTACTGCACAAGGCTTCTGCATTGGTTTGTCACCCCTAGGTCTTGCTTTCACTGGGGAATAAAAAAAGGTGAGTTATAGCGTGTTACTGATGTGCTTAGCGTATGTGCAGCAATCTGTCCTTGCTGGCAAGGTAGCATCTGGATTTATTCCCAGGGTTTGCTTCAACAGCGATTAGAATGAGGTTTGCCTTGTCTAGGTGAGGACACCAGCATGTGCTAGCTAATGTGTTAATTTTTTGAGCGTGGATATCGTCCCTGTCAGCTTATGATGAGTTCTGCTGGATGGGCAAGAGAGCACAGGAGAAACGCACTTGATTTCTAAGAGGGTTCTGTCTTCTCTGTGAAGAAAGAAAACATTTTGCAGACAATAAATTCGCTACAAAACCTATAGAAAATCCTGTGGAATCCACAGAAACTCCTGTGTGAACACGTAGATTGTTCTGTAGCATGGAACTGTTTTGCAGGGGATAAAGTTATTAAATAGAACATAATGCAGAGTGATGTTATCATTTTATGTGAACTGTAAGTGTGTGTGTTTAAACCTCTACAGGCAGCAAAAACCTCTTGCTAAAAGAGCAAGCCAAGGCACACTAGTCTTTGACAGCCAGCTGAATGAGTCCCTGCCTATTCTTTTGAATTTGTTCCCACGACCTTCAAGTTCTCCTTGGCTGAATTGTGCTAACTTTGTGAATGGAAGGGCTTGGAAACAGGCTATTGTAGTTTTCTTTGATTGTTTTTTTTTGGGCATGAGAAACTCTAGTGATACTTTACCTACAATATTTGGTCCAAGAACAACCCATGGTGGTAAGAAGGGACGGGCAGAAAAAGGCTGGTGTTTAATGCAGCTCAGATAAAGCGTCTGTGAGGCAGAGGGAGGGAAGGGGTTGGACAGACAGTTCAGAGACAGGCCAGGCAGGTCTGAGGAGGCTCACCAGAATGGCAAACGCATCCTTTATCTTGGCTGGTTTTGCAGCTGCTGCTGTCAGCTGGAGTCTTTGCTGGTCCTTTTCTGCAGTCCCCACTCCAGTTTCCCACAGGGAAAGCATTGTCTCCTGCTCATGTTGTGAGCCCTCATAGTACCTGTGGGGTCACGTTCAGGCCAGGTGGAGGATCTCTGATGAAGAGGAAGGGAAAGTGCAGATCTGTTCAGGTGCCAGAGACCTGGGGAACCTTCCCAGACCTTCAGCCAGAGGAGGAGGAGCCTCTATGATGCGCACTTAGAAAGCCTTACGGGTGCTCCTAGTTGCTCGTTCCTCTCTCTGACTGTAGATAAGGAGAACATGGAAATGGAGCTGGTGTGACTCCTGGATAATGCGCTGCTGTTGGGCTCACCAGACCAACACTTAAGCCCTCTGTGTGCTTGTAACGTCTGTACGCTCTCCAGGGAAGCCTTCTCGGACCCACTGCCCTCTTGGTGTGTCAAGGCTTGAGATAGTATCTGAATCCAAGGAAATTCAGTTGCTGCAGCTGAGGGTCAAGCAGCAAGAGGTACACTTGGATTTAACACAGTCCTTATGAGATCCTTAAGTATTGACTTGGAAATAAAGTTCCCTAGAAATTACTCTAAATGTTTATAGAAGAGGAAAAGAAAGAATCATCATTCTTTAAGTCATCTTTTGAAATTCCACAGTGTATAATTTAACAGAGTCTGTAACATTTCTTTGTAAATAACCATGGTATGAAGGTTGCTATCCTATAAAAATATTGAGAGTAGAAAATTTGGCTCCCTTTTGGTCTCCCCAGTAGTCCAATAACAGAAGTCAAGTCTTTCCTTCTGGCAGAAATACTGTATATCTCAGTATCACTTCTGCAAGTTTCTGAACGCTTCACCTTTGGCTCAGCAGAGTGCTTAAGCTTTATGATTAGCTTCCATCTGATGACTCCAGTGAAACAAAGGAAGGGCCTCTTCTACAGAAGTTGAAGATGTAGCATATGTATAGAAGTACCTGAATCTGCTCCAACTCATCACCTTGGCTGGCAGCGGGAGGCAGCGTTACGGCTGTATGAGCCCACCAGTAGTTAAATTTAGTTAGTTAATTAATTAATTAATTAATTAATAAATGTAGTTAAATTCCTACTTGCATGTGTTGGTGGCTTGGGTCCAGAAAGCTCAGTGCACTGAAGAATCGAGTCCTCAGTGCACTTATGTCTCTGTTCATAGCACTCTGGGCTTTCACCAGGAGTGTCTTTACCTGGTGGGATAGGCCTGTTTTCCACTGTAATAACCCCAGCAGTACATGTGGATGCTCCCTGCGCTGCCGGCAGACTGCAGCTGGGATTAAGGCTCTAGCCTAAATGTGGATGGAAGGAGGCAGGCCTTGACTTCAGTAGTTTGTAGTCCAGAAAAAACGGTTTAAGAAAGGTTTAAAGTCATTGATGAATGCAGTGAGGGAAAAGGGTTGTGGTCTTTGACGAGCAGGAAGGTGGCAGAGCCATCAGTGGGGCAGTGGAGGCTTAAATGGAGGAGGGAAGGACAGGATTCTCCTCTTCTGCGGATCCAGGAGCTAGAACCCTCCTCATGCAGAAAATGAGGTGGGTGTGAATCTCTGGGATGCCAGTTCTTTTGCTGCTTTGCTCGCTAATTCAACTCCTTGGCAGAAGGGTGGAGCTCTGTAACTCCCCAGGCAGACACAGGAGAGCCCCCATCTGGATGGAGATGCCAAGTGTGCGGAGACTGCACCAACTTACTTCATTTCTGCTGCACTTTGTTCTCTGGGGATCGTCCATTTTGGTTTGACTTTTTTTATCTTTAGAGTCCCTTAACTCCAAGGACAGGAGATGGTATGATGGCTTTTGCACCCCGCCTCTTACTTCACCTTTCACAACTGATCAAAGAGCTTATTTTTTGGTGGTAACTTTTACATCCCAGAGTCTGTTTCTGGTGGCTCCTCTGGAGAGCTTGTGTGTAGGTGTGTGACAGAATGTCTTTGAGAAATTGGGGAATGGGAATGAAGAACTACAGAGGGATTGCATATCAGCAGGACGGGCCAGCTGCCATGTCCGACCATTTTAGTGAGGGGTGAGTTATTTGCAAGGCTTTGTTTACCTTCTGTTTCCAGTAAAATTGCAGTCTGTCCGTGCTCCGCTTCCTTCACTAGGGCAGTGGGTATGGAATTGAACATCAGCAGGAGGTAAAGAGGATTTCAGGGTACTGCAGGGTGTACGTGTAGTGAGAAAAAGGTGAGGGAGAGTATTTGTTGTTGGTTACGACTTCTGATTCTTCCTGATGTGAGGTCTGAGCATTTCATGGCTTGGAAATATTGTGTGACTGTCCCTGTGCAATTCGTTGATGTCTTATTCTGGAGGGATTTTTTTCCAGGTGACTGGGGAGGTATACTTACCTCTTCTCTGTTGCTTGGCTTAGAGCACACTGACTGTGTTCTGTGAGGTTACAGCAGGGATGATGGCCATACTGATTTTTTTCTCTTTGCTCCGCTTTTGGAACAGAGCAGCTGCCTGCTGATGGGGTATGAGTTGCTGGCAGAGGATGAAGGTATTGTCCCTTTGGGATCATTCAGATATTTTTCTCCTACCTTTAAGATATTCTGAGGAATTAGAAAAAAGGGAGGGTTGGACTCTGCTGCAGCTGCCAGGACATGGAGCTGGTGCTGAGGTGGTAATGCATCTCCTGCTCTCTTCCTGCCTCTGTTCTTTGCTGGCTTATTCACGCAGGCTGAAGGTCTGGGAAGGTTCCCAAGAAGAGCACTCTCCCATGTTCACTGTTCACTCAGACTGCAAGGCTGTTGCCAGAGACCTTGCTGACTCTCATAGCTTTCTGGTACCTTCCAAAGACTTTCTGTCTTGTCTGTGGCATGGGTTTAGTGTAGGAGTGCGTGCCCCTTGGGACAGACCTAGAAGAAAGACGGAGAAGGATTGACATGGTGTGAAAGGGAAGTGTAAAAAGGCTACAGAGAGCAAAACATAGAAGAAATAATCACTCGGAGTCTCACCAGAGCTCATGGAGTTTTGGATGTTCCCGGAGTCCTTTTCTCCCAGCTTAGGTGTCAGAGGCCCCACACTGAGATACTGCTTTAGATTTCTTTACCTCCATTTACTGGAACTGTGAGAGGAAAAGGATATCCATGGCATGGGGCAGTGCAATTAAAAATGACAGCAAGCAGAGCATTTGAGAAACTTCCTTCTGTCTGGGGAAGCAGTGACGCATCCTGGTGAGATGGAATTCAGACTCGAGGATCCTTTGCTGAGGAAAGGAAGGGAGCTGTACTGGGGTTTTGCCTGATGCTTCTTTATCAGGCAGTTTCTATTTTGCTTAGTTGGGTTATTTGGAGGGCAGCTGCTGCTGCTGGAGTGCTGGGGCTGTCGCTGTAGGATGCAGCGCTGGGCTGCCCGCTGCAGACTGGCTGCTCTGGGCAAGCTGTGTGTGAAAGGCTCTGGAAGCAAGAGAGAGGGAAGGATCCCAGCAAGTATAAGGTGTGCTTGGGGCTGCAGAGGTGATGGGCCTTGGGCCAGAGCTGACTAGCAGGTCTTGACCCAAATTCGCTGTGGTTCTTGCAGAAACAGTATGGCTACTGTGACTGGTTTGCATCAGTACAACAAACCAAAGGGGATAGTTACCTGAAGCTGGAAGAAGCTTCTTTTTAAGCTCAAAAGAAGTAATCTTCGTTTCTTTTTGGTTTTGTGTGATGTTTCAGCCATCAGTGAAAACACTGAGTGTGTAAGGAGCAGAGGCAGTTGTGAG